CCCCCCCCCCCCCCTCGAAACTCTATTTTTTTAAGAATTTAATTATTCTTTTCAAAATTCATACAAACCTAAAGGAAATAATGTGTTACTTTACTTTTTTATACAAGAACAACGTTAAAATTTGAGCTCGATAACTAAAAAGAAAATACTTTTTTTTTTAAAAAGTATCCTTTCTACGACATGAAAAAAAATTACTTATTTTGTTGAATGAGTGTAATGTGCTCAAATAAGACAGATCACAACGTTATATGTTCAGTATTCTTTAATACTGACCGTAAAATAAAATACAAGTGCCAAAATCAAGAGGTTAGGTTATTACGGTATAGAAAAAGGAAACAAGTTATCTACTTTGAGATTTGAAAAATAGTTTCATGTCATGCTTTTTAATTAATATCTAATAATTATTTATAATTTCTATATAGAAGGTTTAATTTTAAGGTTATTTGCACATATCCAAATTACCCAAATCATAATTTGACATGATTTATGTTCGCATATCACGCGGGTACTAATACTAGTTTGGTTAATATTTGCAACAAGAATATCTATGCTATATTTTGGGAGTTAAAAGGAGGAATAAATCTAAATGTTCTATTCGTATTCATCGTTTCTCACCGTCATAGTCTCATAGTCAATATTTCGGGTGTGTTTGGTATTAAGGAAAATGTGTTTCCATGGAAAATATTTTATGAAAAATGATTAGTTTTATCACTTGTTTTCCCTTGTTTGGTTGGTGAGTGAAAACTTTTTCCAGAAAATATTTTCTAGTATTTAGCTAGAGAGTATAAAATATTTTTAGGAAAATAATTTTGTATGCATGTCTCCTGTGCTGCCCCCCCGGAACTCTATTTTTTTTAAAAATTTAATTATTCTTTTCAAAATTCACACAAACCTAAAGGAGCTAATGTGTTACTGTACTTTACTTTTTCACACAAGAACAACGTTAAAATTTGAGTTCGATAACTAAAAAGAAAATACTTTTTTTAAAAAAAAGAAAGTATCATTTCTACAACATAAAAAGAAATTACTCATTTTGTTGAATGAAAGAAAATACTTTTTCTACATCATGAAAAGAAAACACACAGTTCGTTGAAATGAAAGAAAATACTTGCTTTACATCATGAAAAGAAAGTATGCGTTTTGTTGAAACGAAAGAAAATACTTTTTCTACATCATGAAAAGGTGGGGACAAGAAGTTATTTCAGCTGGCAAAAGCGAGAGAGAGGAAGGCTCGTGACCTGGATCAAGTGAGGTGCATCAAAGACGAGGAAGGTAGAGTGTTGACGGAGGAGTCCCAGATTAAGCATAGATGGCAAACGTACTTTCATAAACTTCTGAATGAAGAGGGGGGTGGTAACATCGTGCTGGGGGAGTTGGGGCACTCTGAGGGTCTCCGAGACTTTAGGTACTGTAGATGTGTTAAGATGGAGGAGGTAGTGAGAGTTGTGTGTAAGATGAGTTGGGGCAAAGCGACCGGTCCAGACGAGATTCCAATAGAATTTTGAAGGTATGTGGGTAGAGTAGGACTAGAGTGGCTGACTGGGTTGTTTAATATTATTTTCAGGACAAAAAGAATGCCAGATGAGTGGAGATGTAGTATGATGATTCTGTTGTACAAGAACAAAGGTGATATCCAGAATTGTAACAATTATAGGGGCATCAAGTTGTTAAGTCATACCATGAAAGTTTGGGAGAGAGTGGTGGAAGGGAGGGTAAGGAAGGTGGTGTCTATTTCTAAAAATCAGTTCGGGTTCATGCCGGGACGTTCTACTACGGAAGCTATCCACCTTATCAGGAGGTTGGTGGAACAGTACATGGATAGGAAGATGGATTTGCACATGGTGTTTATTGACCTAGAGAAGGCGTACGACAAATTCCCTCGGGACGTGCTTTGGAGATGCCTGGAGGTGAAAGGGGTGCCGGTAGAGTACATTAGATCGATAAAAAGATATGTATGATGGAGTTAGGACACGGGTCAGGACTGCGGGAGGTGACTCAGAGCTGTTTCTGATAGTTATGGGGTTAC